TTTTACTCTCTAGTTTCCCCAACACAACAGATTTTATTGCTGGTGTTACTGAGTATTAGTGATACATCATTGATTTCAAGGACATAATAAGGCTTGTTAATGAAAATTAATAGTTTCTGAATTTTTGCCACTATGTGATATCCTCGTAAACAAAACACTTAACAGGTCACGAGCTCTATGGAACCAGCTGGTTTAAAGTTAGACACACTGTAAGCAAATGGCAGCTCTTATTCACCCTTAAAACCCTCCAAAGAATGAGTAGAGAAGGGAGCCTGAAGGAAGAACCAGGAGCACTTGGTGAGCTAATCCTTCCCACGTAAGAATTACCCTCCTTTCATATTCAAATTAAACAGAACTTACAATAGCATTAGTTTGATATAGTTCAATGACACGCAAAATAATTACCAAAGAAATAAATGCTAAGTCATCATGTAACTAGAACTAATTATTTCCACATAATTAAACCCAAGCCCTTTAGATGGGCAGTTAGAAAAAGGCATGCTCCAAACATTAGGTTTGTGGGTTCTCCCCAGCAGAAGTGGTGCCACTAACATAGGCCAATTCACACATCAGCCGGAGTACCGTATGCAGGATGGCCTAATCCAGTCACCACTCGCTGGGTGGGTGAACCTGTCAAGCTGACCCTGGGAGCACCCCTTACTCAGGCTTCCAATAAAAAGGTACAGACTGCTGCCTGAGGATTCACTGAAAGACAAGCAAGCCTCTTCTTCTACCAAAGAAGGTAAGAATCACTTATGACATGAGATTTCAAACAAAAATCAGTTACATTTTCAGTTCAACAAAGAAAGATACCTTAATCATGTTGCTTCTGTTGTTAAAATGCAAAACAAGAATAGGAATAAGGAACTGAAACATAAATCATTGTGCAGCCTCACTGAGGTCTGTGCTAATTAGATTCCATCAGGAACACCAGCTGCCTTAACTGGGTTGGGCATGATGGTTCGGGGGGAATTCTGACAGCTGAAGTGCAATCCAATTCAGAGGTGTAAGGAAAAGGTGCTAAAGATAAACTTCTATTTCAAAGTACTGCTTAGGGCTGATCTTTCCCCCACTCCCAGAATCCAGAGCATTTTTATCTCCTATACGTTGGTGCCCAACTCCCCACCCTCTAAGGGCAAGTGTGGTGAGAGGACAGTAAGAGATAACTTAGCCACACCAGGATGAGTCCATGGTGACTGCAGCAAAATTCACTATTCCCAGAAGCCTCTCAAATGGCCTGTGAGGCCTTACTCCCTAAGACAGTATCAGAAAACACATTTGCCCTGCTCAATCCTTACTGCTCCACAGCAAATTGCTATGGAGGAATATACCCTCTACCGATACATCAAGCTCAGTCGTCAGGCATGCCACTGCTCATCCACACTACTCACAGCAAAAGTGATCAGACAGGTGGAGTAATTCAATCACATTAAATCTAGAACTGAAATCTAAAGCTAGCATGAGTAAGTATATGTTTGAGGCTTCTCATTCAAATATTAAGCTCAAATGATAGCCATACCCATTATATTTCTCACATTCTTAGGGGGATTATTTAGCTTTTCATGATACAAATGACCCCACCTGCAGAACTAAAATACTCCTGGAAAGGCTTTCATCTTAATGTTAAAGACTGTCTCCTCCTGGTTTAACAGGGATCCAAGTATGTGCGTCACTTAGAAGATAAAGTCAAACTAAAGATATCACGTAGTATATCTGAACATATCTCATGAGTCCAAGAATTAAAACTAAGCATAAATGCTTTACTTATATGAAATATAGTTGTGTTCCAATTAATTCTGAAGTAAATAAAAGAAAAACCCCTCATACTTACAAAATAGAACCTGGACCAAACCATGATGAAACAGGTTCGATACTCTTCCACTCTTTTTCACTCACAAAGTTTATGAAGTCGTTCTTAGTCCTTGGGCCCTGATAGCGCCTAAATTCACCATCTTTACAACTAAAGAAGATCAGAATTAAATATTAATCAGTACCAAATAAATAAATTTTGTATTTGTTTTACTATTTTTAGAAACTCATTTTACAATCGATCTAATATTCAAAATCATCAGCAATGCACAAGTGGCAAATTATACTAATTACCTACCCTTGGCATTTTAGCCCCATATTTAATTAAACACTGAGGTTATATTTTTAAACAATCATAAGCCTTAAGAATGTTATTATTACTCTTCCAAATAATAAGACTATAAAACACAGCAAGTAGTTATATGTCAATTATATCTCAATAAAACGGGGTGGGGGAAGAAATGAGATAAATCTCAGAATATCACTTTTAAGCCACAACACACATATTGAAGAAATGACCTCATAAAAAGTGGTTAGAATCATGTCTGGCATTTATTATTAGCTATTTACACATTAAACATGTAAGGCATTTTTCTGGTATTGCCAGTCATAATCACATCATCTCAGCCTCCAGGCTTTAGGACTTTGTTTTTTTAATTTATTTTTTACTTTTGGTGGGGGAGGTAATTAGGTTTACTTATTTTTTTGATGGGGATTGAACCCAGGACCGTGTGCATGCTAAGTACATCTCTCTCCCACTAAGCTATCCCCTCCTGCCACAGTCATCATGCTTTAAATTGCTGGAGGCATCTGGTACAGGGATTCTGTTTTACAGCCTACTTTGCATTCTTCCTGACGTCCACCTCCTCCTTCCCATTCCCAACATACAGAGCTCTGTCACAGGGTCATAAATGCTCTCCCGGCTCCCACACCTTCATCATTTCCAAACGACCTTAAATAATATGCCAGTCTAATTCTACTTCATTAATACTTCTGTTTTTATCACTTAAATAGGAAAACTTTCAATAGCTCCCTACTATCTATAGTTAGAGGACCCTTTATTCAACCAGAGCCAAAGCAGAGTTTTGTGGAGAAAATGGCATTTGAGCTGTTTTTGAAGGATAGGTAGAGCTACAGCAGGTAGAAATTAGGGGAATGGGCATGACAAACAATGTGACTAAAAGAAAAAGGGCAGGAAATCCCAGAAAATTTCAGGCATGTTGAGAAAAGGGGGAGACTAACTAGAGGGGATATGGAGAAAAGGACTTCGTGAAAAGGGAGAAAGCACTTATAGAGACAGAGAAGATACATGTAAATAGGTGCAAAGGGGGCAGGGGTGAATTAAAAAGGTATAGGGAAACAGACACAAACATGGGGGAAAAAACCTGACGAAGAAAATCAAGATATGCACAGAACAGCCGACGTGTTGTTTTCTTAACTCTAAATGAGGAGAGAAGTACCTCCTGGCATTCATTCCCACCAGCCAGATGAACATTAAAGTTCAGGGTATATACACAGATTTAAGATTTCTTATGGCCTGTTTAGAAGATAAAGACAAGCTAAAAAACCTGATACTAAAGACTATATAATCTTGTTCATTCTGACTTAACAACCACTTCACCTACTACTGTCCCCAGAAGTGAGCTACAGCACTTTCTCAGTTAACATAACATGTTCCTATTTATGACTGTTTATGAGACTGTCCTCAGGATGGAATGCTTACTATGCACTCCTGAAAATTCTACCCCCACGGTTGAGTTTTAACCCCATATTCTCCAGGAACCAGGCCAGTGCGCTGAATTTTGTTCCCTTACCAAATTTCCTACAGTGCTTACCACATCTCCGGGCTCATAATCACTTACTATGCTGAATGGTATCACACTGTTTCTTGTGCACATCATCTTCTAAACAGTTACAAATCTTTGAGATCAGGTTGTTTCACACGTCATTCACCTATCTAAAGGCACCTAGGACAGCACTAAGAGCACAGTAAGCCTTCCAATACACTTACTGAATATAATGCTCTTTAAACACGACCTAGGCCAGGGGCCTACTATTCTCATTATACCATCAGGCATCCTACAGAATCTTCAAATACTTACTGATAAATAGTAGGAAGAGCAGTTATGATAAATCGTCCACTTAGTCCTACAAATGATAAAGAAAGATCAGAAATAAACAGAAGAAAAAACACACAACAGGTGTTATATGGGCCAATCACTTACTACTTAAAAGTTGATTCTGATTTAAAAACCAATAGACAAAGAATATGAAATTATACCTAAAAAATAGTTGAGCTGTGTAACATAAACAATGAAAGAAATTACAATTATGTACTTAAGCAACTTAAAAAAACTACTATACATTATCTCAACTATAAACCACGTAAAGTCTGAATATTGACGACATTAGCGAATATATATAAATAAAACATCTGATCAATTATACCACTATAAGATTACTAGTGATGAGTTATGGGACAGAACTATATAACTTAGGCCTAAAATCAAATGAACTTGCATCTGACAATCAGAAAACAAACACAGTTTTTAAGATATTATTAAAAATGGAAAATATTATGAATCTTTCATAAAGTGGACTATAACAACATCAGCTAAAATTATTAGCCATGTGTTAAACACTAAAATAACTAAGGACTAATTAATGCCTCAGTTTTCTTATCTGTAAAATGGGGGTATTACCTCTTCCACAAGGTTGCATAAGGACTACATAATAAATGCAAAACTTGGAGCAGTACCTGTAATAATCAGTGCTCAACAAATATTAGTGATCATTACCATTTGGGATAGGGACAGAGTCAAGAATCCAGGTTTACTGTGACCAAAAACAGGGAAGATAAGGCTGGTCTAAGAAATAAGCATCCATAAGGGCCGGGCTTGCCACTTGTCCAGGAGGCCAAAACCATGAGGGCTTTGTAATTAAGAGCCCATGGCCTCAAATCATAATTAATGGATTAAATCTGGAATCCAATTACAGGGATTCAGATCACTTGTCAGGGACTGTGACCTTGACTCTACAAAGACTCTCAACCACATACTCCTTATTCTAAAGCTTGGTATGGACCACAGTGTGCTAGGACTTCTCACAGAGGTCTTACATACCAGTCTGTGGCCTGAGATGCAAAGGAAAAAAGATAGGAGGCAGTTATGTGGGAAAGAATGGAGGGAGAGAGATGTTTCCTAGGTTCTTAAGAGCAATATATAAAAGATTAAGCTGCATACACAACCAGGGAATTAGCTTTTCGCAGGCACTGCACACTGAGTTCCCATCAGAGAGGCGTGTGAGTTAGCTTAATCAAATGAAGACAGTTATGTTTTTAAAACCTAGTGAAAGGCAGAGTTAAGATCATGTAATATCAGTTAAGATCATGTAATATCATGTAAAACAGGATAAAGAGACCATCCCAAACTGTAAAGAAACAAAACTGATCAAAGACTCACAGTACCTGGCTGCTCTGTGACATCTACTTTTGCAATATTGACCTCAAGATCTTCTCCCCATTCAGCAAAACTTTCCCATTCTGGTTGAAGATTCTGACAAGCGGGACACCATGGAGCATAACTAAGAAATACAGTTTTAAAAAAGTTAAACACTCTGCTATGATCATACTGGGATAAAAATTCGAAAATATGTAACTTGTGAAGACTATTTTATACTAAAAACAAGAAAGTAAAGTGGTTAATTCCGCAAGATCAAACAGTTTTAAGTGTGAGTCTAACACTATGGAAATCAAGAACTATGAATTGATAATGCTCATCATGGAAAAGTAATTCTGAGAATAAGTTCTTAAGACACAAAGACTTTTTCACGTGCAAAAAAGCTCTTTAAAAGCCTTTGGATTTCTCTATTAAAATATGGCCAGAAAGCTCAAAGCCAAATTTGGAGTTCACTGTTTTAATAATTTTACATGCAGGAGTCACAAAAGCAAGTGCTAGTATGAGAAAAATAGGAAGCAGCCAGGGTTGTGGTGAATGGGAAACCTGTGCCCCATCTTAAAGAGGGAAGCACCACTCAGCATGACTGCCAAAGGGCACTGCTGGTCCAGATCCACAGACTGGTCTGACTCAAAAGAAGCTGAAAAATCTGCATTTTGTATGTAAAAATGTTACCTAAAAACTCAACCCAGACACAAACACTAAACAGGCCAAATGAAATTCTTTAGCCAGCCCTCGGTCAACCTTGGGTTTGCAAATCTGTGGCCAAAAATATTAGCACTTTAATTATTTTCCTGGTAATCAGTCTTTTAAAGGCCCTGAATCTTTCCTAGGATTTAACTTTTCCCTTTTATTGTACATTATCTGATAATTTACCTCAGCTTTTTAAAATGGAACCAGGAAGAATAAAGCCTGTACCTGTTAAACACAAGAGTACACACTCTGTACTTCATTATATTTTCTTGACTTATTTTATGAAAATAAAACTCCTAAAAGTAATAGGCACTGTGGAACAAGACCAGTACCATACATAAAAGGCAAACCTTGTAACAATAAATTGTATTACAATGAAAATATCTCTAACAAAACTCCTGATGAGGATGGATTTAAAACTGACTTGTAATAAGAGCGGACTATTGTTAGGAATACTAGACTCTTTTTTCAAGTTCCTTTTGTTTCCTAGGTGCTTCTTAAAGACTTAACCTCATATCAGGTAGGCTAAGGAAAAGAATGAAAAAAATACTATGGTATACTCTAATTTCATACAGATGCTCTAATTCAAATCCCCTAATACTTTACTTTTGACTGCTATATTGATATAGTTTGAACAAATGAGTTAATAAAAATCTCCTAAAATAATACTTGACTTTATTTTGCATTATTAGTTCATAATCACTATTGCTTGTTTATGAAATTGTGAATATTTTATGAACAAAACCTAAAACAAGTTACTGAGGACAATTAAAACCAAATGCTGTCACTGGTTATACTTTCTCTCCTCTGTAGCCTCAGTGTGCCTTAAAATTCATTTTACTGAGTTATAAATTATATGCAAACTATATCTCACTCTCCATATAAACATTCTATGCCTTATTTCATTTTATGATTCAGGAGTTACTGATCTGGCCCACTGAGTTCTCCCTTAGGGATGACCACCTCCACCTCCCTTAACTGGCAACCTAACCATGTAGGAAAACACCCATCTGAATCTTGTTAAAGGAGGGAGTTGTTCTAACAACATCTGCATGTCTACCCTGTGGTAAGCTCTGCAGATGAAAAGAAAGCCACTACAGCAATACTTGGACAGATTAATTAAGGCTCTTAGGTATGACTCTTATTTGTAAAACACAGGAAATAACACCTATCTTACAGAATTTGTAAAGAATAAATATGGTAATGTAAGTAAAGTGCTTAAAGCGTCTAGTACACAATTAACATTCGATAATGGCGTTTTTTACCAGTATCACTAATACCACTGGTATCAATAATACTGCCACCAATACCAATTTAGTGACTAAAACAAAGGCAGATAGTTTATTATCTACCGGTGCAGAAGGGATATTATTATAGCGGAATCATCACAGGCACAGCACTTTATTCGAACAATAAATGATGACCTGCACCTTTAATAAGAGTCTATAATCATACCCATATATTAATATTTTAATGCAGTACCACTTAGAGAGGCATACAAGTAACAACCAGGAAATTCAGTACTATGCAAAAACACACATCCAAAAGGAAAACTGAGATGTGGGCAAAGAGAAAAACAAAAAAATAAGAAATGATAAAGCGAAAGATTTTCTTTAAATAACCCAACTTGAATTTACTTGGCATCTAAGATAAAAAGAAGCACGCCTAATCCATAAAATAAAACTTAAAGAGTCTCAAATTCTAACACTACAAGTGGACCTACTTTTTAAGGATAATTCAGAAGGAGAGGAGAGATTCAGCTCAATTTCCTCTTTTGTAGCGTTTGGTGAAAGCAAGTCTGGAAGTCTGTGAGGACTCATTTTGAAATAAATAACTATAGGAACTAGTCAGACCAACTCCCCGCCCCTCAACCTCCAAAGCCATGAAGAAAAGTTGAGAGAATTCAAAGCTGAACGCAACCTCTTAGGCGCACCACAGCCCTAGCAACCAAACCGAGGTGCACACTTCAGAAGAAACTTAACACAGTATTCCCCGGGGAGAAACGAAGAGGGGGTGGGACCAAGCCAGTCGCAGATCCCAAGAGGAGTCAGGGGATCGCGAGGAGTCGGGGACTCCCGCCCCGCGGCTCAGAGTCGCAGTCCAGGGAAACCTGGGACCCGCATGAGAGGAACAGGGGTGAATCAGGTGTCCAGACTTGGATCTAGGACGCCGGCCCACCAAGGGACCCCGAGACCACCGCCTCGCACTCACAATTCTATCATCCACTCTCCTTCCAGCAACTCTTTCCAGTTCTTGTCCGTGATGACTCGCACGTCGCTCCGCCGCCCGTGGGTCCAGGGGACCCCCCAAAGCAACAGCAGCAGCACTACCACTGGGACCACGGAACTCCCGGAGGGCGCCATGTCGGCCGCTAGCCCACTCACCGACAGCAAGCACAGCGACCCCCACCTCCGCGCAGCAGCGCCTCACTTCCGCCCTCGCGGGCTGACCTGCTAGTGCGCATGAGCACGGCGAAGCGCGCGCTCGTGCGCGCGCATCTTGAGGACTCTCAATGCGCATGACGAAGACAGGTCCTAGTGGGCTGATTGAGTAGAGAAAGAGGGAGCGCGCCTATACCCTAGTGCGCATGACAGAAAAATGGTCTCTGCCCACCTTCGACTTTGCCCCAATACGGTTTTGGAGGAAGAGTGAACCGAGGGCGTGGTGTAGAAAAGTGGGGCGGGAGTTGGAGACGAACCGCTTGGAAGTCTGCAGCAGGATTTTGGCGCCAAATGATTGGCACATATACTTAAGGCAGTTGGTAAGTTTACACTAAAGCAGTTTTCAGTTAAATGCCCGTCAGAGTTTTCTGTTGTTTCCTTTGAAAACTTCTGTAGGAAAGCCAGTGGACGTTTTTGTGAGTCAAAATATTGGTTTACTTCTGGGGGATTATAGACTGGAAACGTGCACAAGGGAACCTTACGGGTTCCCTTTGTATTCTACATCTTGATCAGGACAGTGGTTACACGGATGTACACGTATGTAAAAAGCCATTAAGCTGTGTATGTTAAGTTTAGTACACTTTATGCACTTTAGGATGTATGTTATCCCTCAATTTTTTTAATGCAGTAGTTACAGAGATGCTAGATCAGAAATTCAAAATAGAACAAGACATGTAGGCTTGTACACATATTTAAGATTTTTTTCTCAAGCATTTATAATTACAAATGCAAATCAAAATGTGCACAGTCGTTAGAAAGTATTAATCAGTCCATTGAAAATAGTTGCCATTACAGCTCCTCACCTCATATTCTCTCCTAGACTCATTGCAGTTGGCTCATTTCCCCACCTCTTCTCAGGCCGTTTCTAGGACACTAGTGATCTGCATGTTAACATTCATCTTACTTGACTGCCAGCATTATCCTACTGCCACCACAACCTCCTTGAAATGTGCTGCCTTATTTCCTTTTTTTTCCCCTCCTTCCTCAGTAGCTGCTCCTTCTGAAACTTCTTGGCGGGTCCTTCTCTACTTGACTTCCAGACATTGGCTTACCCCAGGGTGCTATAAGGGCCCCCTCCTCTTTGTATCCACACACTTCTCCAGATAACCTCAATTCTGGCTTTAAAAGTCATTAATATGTCTGTCATTTAAGCCCTGGCCTTTCTGGGAACTTCAGACATCTATATTGTTAAAAAACAAAATTCAACCGAGAAAAATTTAATGATCTAATTGTCTTTATTAGGTGATTCATGAATCAGGCATCATCCTGTCTAGCAATGAGTAGGGCTCTCCTAGAGGTTGTACAAAGTGGAAGTCTTTTATAGGAAGAAGGATGAGGCAAAGGAATTATTAGCAAAAGAAAAGAAAGGATTATTTCTAGGTCTTTATGAGGGGAAGGGAACTGGCAAGAGTTTTATCATGTAGATTGCCTCTCCTTTAAGTCTTGGGGGGTGGGGAGAATGACTCCATTTTGAGACTTTCTTTTTTTAACAATATTCAACTCTTTGCTTGACATCTCTTGGATATCTAACAGGTAGCTTAAATGTAACAGCAGGATCAAAAGATAAAACTCTTGATTCTCCGTTTTCTAGTCTTCCATCTCAGTTGAGTCTTAAGGTCCATTTAATGGCTCAAGACAAAAATTTACATTTTAATTCTTTATTGTTCTCTCTCTTCACTCCCTCTTCATGTTCTCTATCAGCAAGTCCCATAAACTCTGCTTGCACTAATTTCCAT